ATATATATACACACATATATATATATACACATATATACATAATTATGATAAAATAAAAAATGTAGAAATAAAAATTATGTAGACATATTTTAAAAGAACTAATAAAGATAACAAAACACAAAAACTGCTAAAACTTTATTCTAAAAAATGATCTCATTTGCTATAATTAGATTTACTTGAAAAGCAAAATGTGTACGATAATGAGGGTTATTATAGTTAACCAAAACTAAAAACATTAAAAAAAAAACATTTCCATTACTTGAAATAAAATAAACATTAACTTAAATAAAATATTTTAAAAATTAACGTTTTTATTTCAACTAGCTTCCAGAACAACATTTTCATTTTCATTTAGTTTAACTAGCTAGAAATCTGAAATAAAAATTACTATATAGACAAACATATATATATATATATATAAACACTAAAACACAAAAAATAACAGAAACACACAAAAATAACTAAAAAAATTTACTAAAATGAATGTAATTAATGATCTCATTTTCTATCATTAGATTTACTTAAAAACTAAATGTGTAAGATAATACGGCTTCTGGATCAGGGTTAATATAGTTGACTAAAACTAAAAACATTAGAAAAATACTTTAAATAAAATAAACATTAACTGAAATAAAATAAAATATAAAAAAACTAAACTTATTTTATTTCAAACCAAAGCAACATTTCTCATTTTCAATATTTTAAAAATTAACGTTTTTATTTCAACTAGCTTCCAGAACAACATTTTCATTTTCATTTAGTTTAACTAGCTAGAAATCTGAAATAAAAATTACTATATAGACAAACATATATATATATATATAAACACTAAAACACAAAAAATAACAGAAACACACAAAAATAACTAAAACATTTTACTAAAATGAATGTAATTAATGATCTCATTTTCTATCATTAGATTTACTTAAAAACTAAATGTGTAAGATAATACGGCTTCTGGATCAGGGTTAATATAGTTGACTAAAACTAAAAACATAAGAAAAATACTTTAAATAAAATAAACATTAACTGAAATAAAATATAAAAAAACTAAACTTATTTTATGTCAAACCAAAGCAACATTTCTTATTTTCATTTAGTTTAACTAAAATAACAATAAAACTGAAATAGAAATGACTATTTAGACATCAAAAAAAAAATATATATATCAGAAACGAAAAAAAATGTATAGAACTTAAACTAAAAAAATAATAAAATCTAATTCAAAATATTAACAAAAACTAAAATGGAATCAACACTGTTCTGGATAAAGTCTCTGACAAATGTTCTTTTAGTTTAAGCTTCACTAAATACCGTTTTACTCTCAAACATAAAAAGCAGTGTTTTCAAATCAACCTATGAATGTCTTATTAGGACTCAATGTTTGAAAGAGAAAAGTATGTATGACTGAATGAAGCATGAGAGTCTGCGGTGGAGTCGTTCTGTCTGCCTTCTTATCTATTTAATTTTTTCATTACAACAAATCATGTGTTCAGTCTGAGCTCAATGTAATGAAATAAAAACACCGGGAACTGGAAAATAATGGCTGGATTAGTCCGATTAGTGCGCAGATGAGCAGTTCTGCTAATGACTCACACGGGAGACTCCCCGAATCACTCAGAGCTGTTACTGAATCAATCTCTGATATGACTCACTTCCAGGAACATTTACTTACGTTCACATTAAGTTACAAATCATTATTTCCGAATGTTCTCTGAAAGTTCACAATGTGCAGGAACATTCCATTGTATCATTGTATCAGCAGACATCATGAGAATGTTACTTTTGAATGTTCTCTGGATATTCTGAAACAAGCAGTTACATTTAAAAAGCATTAGATGTACGTCCAGCTAAAACGCTTTAGAAGAAAAACGTTCCACGAACGACATATAAAACGGTTTGAGAACATTACTAATAAATAGCTTTGGACAAACGTTCTATTCGCGTTAGCAGAATAGCATTTGTACATAACTTTGAGAGAACGTTCTTTGTCAGCTGGATTATCGCGACTTTCATCATAAAAAATGTAATTGTTGATTGATTGCCCATATTATGGAAGGCCGTTTCCGCCAAAAACGGTACAAAATAAAAAAAGGTAGTTGCGACTTTTTATCTCACAATTGCGTGATTAAAACTCACAATAGCGAGTTATAAAGAGAAATAAAGTTGCAATTCTGAAAAAAAAAAAAAAAAAGAATTGCAAGATATAAACTCACAATTCTCAGAATTTCAAGTTTTTATCTCGCAATTGTAATTTGTGACTCAAACTCGAAATTCTGAGAACATAGTCTTTTTTTCGTTTGGACTTTAAAATTCGACAATTGCAAGGTTATATCTCACAATTCTGAGAAAAAAAGGCAGTATTGCAATAAAAAAGTCAGATTTTCGAGATAAAAACTCGCATTTGTGAGAAAGAAGTCAGAATTGCGAGTTTTTATCTTGCAATTCTGATTTTATAACTCGCTATTTTATATCTCACAATTCTGAGAAAAAAAGTAAGAATTGTGAGATAAAAAGTCACGATAATCTTTTTTATTTTTATTTCAGTGGCGGAAACGGCCTTCCATACCACCTAGGCATAAGCGAACTAAGCGGCTGCTTAGGGCCCCCGTGGCCACCAGGGGGCCCCCAAGAATACATGAAATGACAGCTTGATTATTATTATTTTATTTTTGGTGATATATTATGTCAATGGACAAAGGTAATAATACAAAAACGCAATATTAAACAATTAAATAATCTATATGTATCATTTTATTTCCATAGCAACGCATCATGCAGCCACAATATGACAGATGTATGACTTTTATATAGTTTTTTCCTTTTTTTGTTCAAAATATCAACAAACTTGTTAAATATAAGCTATATGATACAGCATATTGTGATTATCAAATACGTGTAAATTAATTAGTTTTGTCGTTTAAACAACCTTAATGACCATGTTAGTTGATCTATAATGTGCGCTGGACGCTGTCGTGTGGATCTGTCGGGTTAACATCACGGAAATTCACCCATTTCTCCCGAAATACATGGAAGTGGCCAGTGAACTGGGAGAAAAACAGCATAAACGTTATAGTTACCTACACAATGTGTCTTTGAATAAAACACATCACATTTTAATTGAAAGGAGTATTATTACCGCTTTCCATAGAAATCAGTGTGTATTTAACAAACTGTAAATTCTGTTGATAGTACTTAATTGAAATCTGTATTTATAACAGTTGTGATATAAAGCACTGAGCATGTCTTTCTCTGGCTCAGCGGCAGCCAAAGCGTACAAAGGGTTAAAATCGATTATAATATAACATTTAATTTAGCTAGTTTTAGAAGAAGAAAAAAACATTTTTGTCTGTGTAAAACTTTCCTGGGTATACATTTTTGTAATAATAAGCTTCTGTTTCATAAACTTGGTACTGATAACAGCTTAACCTTTTTTACCTTACCCTGTCTTTGCTATTATATTCCAATATCATTATGCCTCAGTTAGCTAGATTAAGAGTTGTTGTTTTAGGTGTACGGATTACTTGCTGCGGTGTTTAATAATTTATGTTGTTAAAATAACATTCTTTTCAGTAAATGCATTGTCCGCTGGTTTATTTAACTACTTTTCAGTACACCACATTAAGTATGCCACTAAGACTTTGGATGTTAAAGTTTAAATTAACACATGACCAATTTTGCGGGTTTGCTACTGTAACAATTAAAAACCATAGAAGGGTTAAAACATGCCAGGCAGATGTAAGCAACACAGCTACGACAAATACAATTGATAATGGGTGTGTTAGATTTAGTCAAGTCAAGTCAGCTTTATTGTCAATTCTTCCACATGTACAGCACATACACACAGAGAATTGAAATCTCCTTCGTCTTCTCCACATTCAGAGAGAGATTGTTGTCACTGCACCACCCGGCCAGGCGGCTCACCTCGCTCCTATAGTTTGTCTCATCTCTGTTGCTAATGAGACCCACTACAGTCGTGTCATCCGCAAACTTAATGAAGAGTTCTTAATTTATAGTGTGCATTGACAATAATCAGTCGTATTGGCGGGTGGCACCGAGGGCCCCCCATGTAAAATTCTGCTTAGGGCCTCATAAAGGCTTGGGCCAGCCTTGCAAACCATGCCTTATAATAAATATGTAGTTAATGATGCATAGTTGCAAAACAGTTACATATTAGCAAACAGAAATGAATAAGATATTCAGAATATTTCAGAATGCACAGATGCTCTCCTCTCATCATCATCATCATCATCTTCATCATCTGATCGCAGTGATACGTGCTGAAGGCCACGCGACCAGCACCGGGTTTCCCAGCATCACACAAGACACGTGCATCTCAACACGCGCGATTACATCTAATTACTTGACTTTTCATCATTTCAGCATTTATATAATGCATTATATCTAACGGTCTCAACTGTTAAGGTGCTTAAAAGAGCTTTATTCATGTAAAACATCATGAATGTCAGATATGAAATATAAGTGTGTCAAACCAGTTTAACAGGTTTATCTATTTGTTTCAGTTTAACTGTAAAACTCACAGAAATGACTGTGCAGATAGATGATATAAAGATGATGCTGCGCTTATTATATGATTTCTGATGTAACTACTATATTGAAGACGCAATAAACCATATGCGCGCGCGCTAGACATAAAATGCTATTTGAAATACGGAGCTAAAATCATCCACATCATCAGTATAAAGCTCCTTTAATGAAGTGTTTTAAACTCACCCTGTCGTTGAATCAGCAAACATCGCGACGCGTTTCTGAGTCTCGGTAAGTGAAGAATGAAATGAAAGTCGCGCGTCTCCGGTCTCCGTGCCTCTGTCTGTCTCTAATGTTCCGCTGAACGCGTTCCTCCGGCGGTGCATGCATGTGAATGAGAGAATGAGCTAATGCGTTTCCTCCTCCATCGGAGACTCTCAGTCGTGACGCTCAGGGCGTGCGCATTTCCTGGAGCGCGGTGCTTTGTGACGTCATTCGCATGTGACGTCAGCCGCCACAAATGTAAACAAAGAAACAAACAAAAAAAAATGCTTCTGTTTAATGCATTTACTTACATTTTTGACCAAGCTTCACATCCATGAGTGCAAGTTTACTAATAAAAAACCCAACTTTATGATTTTGTTGACTGTAGTAGAGAAACCACAAAGACTTTGAAAGTTTGAGCTATTTGTTTATTTACCCTTATTCTTATTTTTATATAATTGTACAAAATTATTTATCTCAGTATTTATTTTTGTAGTTGCTTTTCTCTTTTTGTTCTGTTTTATTGTATAATGTTCAATGTTTGCATTTGAATAAATGTGCATTTTTATTTTAATGTTCAGTAAATAATATTAATAATAATAATAACATTGTCCAGAAATATGTTTAGAGGTTGCATAGGAATTTTTGCAACACAAATAAATTAAAATAATACTTTATGTATTCATCAGAGACTTGGATATTATGTGTCCCGTAACAGAGGAAAAATACTTTACAATGTATACAAAATGAAAATGTAATATATACAAAACAATAAGTATTTTAATGGAGTGACACTGAGCATTTAATATATTTAAAACAGGCCAAATAAAATTTATTTTTTAAATTAATATTCATGGGAAATACCAAAAATGAGCATTTTAATTTTAATATCAAATGTTCTAAGTTCATAGACTTTGATATTATTACAAATGTGTTCTGTAATATATGAAAGAATGTAAATCAGGTATTTTATGAATATTTGTAAACAAAAGGAAAATATTTTTAATGGACTGATACTGAGCATCTTATATATTTAAAACAGGCAGAAACGACGATATATTATAAACATTATATCTAAACATTAAAAACTATAAATAAGCATTTCAGTTTTTAATATAAAATGTTGTGCGTGTGTGTGTGTGTGTGTGTGTATATATATATATATATATATATATATATATATAATGACAAAATATAATTGTTGTTTAGGAAATGCAATAAATGAGCATTTTAAATTTTAATTCGAAATGTTCTATAAAGTGTGAAGCATGCTTGCCATGCAGCAGTGCATGCAGTGGCAGGTTTCGGTGATGGATGTGTCACACAGCGCCTCCTGCAGGTCACAGTATTCAGCAGCAGCAGCATCACTCACTCATTCTGCATCTCTCTCAATAATGAAACGCCTCATCACTCTGGAGTTCTCACTCCTCTCACGAGCTCTTTTGTGAGCTGCTGTTCTCAGGATGTTCTGTTCCAGCACTTCACAAACCCCTGACATCGTAGAGGAAGTTTTGCAAAGTGTCTGAATCAGAACAAAAAACCCCAAATGAAGACTAACACTTAATGAGAGCATGGAGGAAAAAGCCCGTTAATTCAGCTTCTGCTTTGACACCAGCACTAAAGCATCAAAGCATCATTGGAATATTAGACTTTTACACAAATATCTCTAGTGCAGTGATCGTACTGATAGATTTAGGATGCATTATTAAGGCTGAGATTTTAAAAAAAAAATGTGCATGTGAAAATAAATGATGAAGGATATTTATTTATTTATTAACTGTTAAGAAGGTTACAGTGAACATTTGTTCCTTCTTTGATTTCCTTTCAAATAAAATGTAGAAAAAAAGTACTAAAAACAAACTGCATGAATTTTAATGTTCAAAAGTTTGTTTTCTTATTCGTATGTAATACTCAAATTTTATGTGCATATTAAAAATAAAACGTTACCCAAATTTTCCCGTCATCCAAATTTTAATTTCAAAACAGGTTATATTTAATAATAAAATAATAGTATAATGTAATATATATTTGGGTTGTTATTGCAAAATGAAGATTTTAAGTGCTGAAACTGGTCTCTATTTATATTATGTTTTGCAACCAATTTTCATCTTAATTTTAATTGAACCTATTTGTTGTCACATTCATTTTAATATTTAATTTTTTTACAATGCAAATTTTCAGTATAGTCTGCTGTTTAATGTGAGCTCATAAACCCTGCATAATAATTATAATATAATAAAAGAAGAAACAAAAAGCAAAATCCTATGCTCATATAGTTTTAGATGGAGTTTAGCAGAACAAACATGTGCTAAAAGAGCTGAATGAAGAGAGAGAGGGAGAGAGAGAGAGAGAGAGGCCAGTTTATAAAAGCATCTCATTTGCTCCTGAGAGATTCAGTCGTTCTGCAGAGCTTGTTTAGCAACTTGTTTAGTAAAGTTAAGATTTGTTTAATGAACATCAACATGTAGCTGAGATCAGCAAACCTGAATGCAGAATCTGATGAATCGCAGCATCTGAACACCTGGGTGCATGTGTTAATAGACAGCTCTCTGAATGATGAGGTAAGACGCTGGATTTCACATGCACTCATGCAAACTCAACTTTCTGAATAGGTTTTAACGAAGCACCTGGTTAATAAGTTCAGAACTGACTGTCTGATTAAATTTCTGCACAACAGGTGCTGCACACGTCATGCAACCTGCACACATTCATGTGTTCCTCCTAACACAGATCTATTTTCACATTACACGGAAAAAGACTGGTGTAAGATTTACTTTGAAACAGTTTTCACCTAGCAATTGCTAGGAAATTTCACAAAGAATTACAAAGAAACAGAAAGTGACACATTGAATTAAATGTGAAATTCTGAAGTAGAAAAGTAGCACTGATTTATGCATATGCAAAAATTTTAAAAGTTGATACATCTTTGTAACAGTTGCAACGTTTGTGTTTATCAAGGATTTCTAAGTCAGAAGTTGCCTGTTAGACGTTACAGAAGTTTTTTGATCATTTTCTAAATCATTTTATCATGTTCTGGGAAACAAATGCATTACTTTGGTGTTGCAGTGCAATGATCTATCAGATGAGCTGAGGTTAGGGTTAGGAAAATGGTCAGATCTATGTGAAAACTTACCAAAACTATCCTGAGTTTGACCCTGTGTGTGTTTTTGCGTGCATCTAAAACTGTGAAAGAAAGAAAGAAAGAAAAGTGAGAGTTTGGAAAGTGCAACTGCGGGTTGAGATTTGTGGAGGGGGGATCATTATCGACTTTGGAATACTAATGAGTTGCCATTGTGTCTCTCTCTCACACACACACTCTCACACACACACTCTCACACACACACCCACTCACACACTCACAGCTTGTTTCCTCATGGGGACCTCAAAAATGTCCCCACAAGGTCAAAATTTACTGGTATTACTATACTTGTGGGGACATTTGGTCCCCATAACGTACACACACACACACACACTAATACACACACACACACACACACACAAAGATGTGTTTGTCAGTGGTCGGTTTTGTCCCTTTGGTGTGTGTTTCAAACAATACATTCCTTTGTACTTGAGAGAGAGAGAGAGACGGTTGAGAGAGAGACAGAGACAGAACCTGGAAGAGCTGATAAGGTGGAAGCAGAGAGACTAAAACACATCACAAGTATTAAACACCTTCAGTCTTTACCATGATAACCATCATTATAGACCAAATGCCACATAGTTACCAGTGTACAAGCATAATAAATGAATATGTGATCATATCATGCAAGAAGCTTTCAGAACATTTTTGTTAGTTTTCTCAGTTTTATTGATATAGAAACAGTTTTCGATCAGAAATTGCTAGTAAATTTCACAACTACAAAGAAAAGGCAAGTAACACATTGAATTAAATGTAATTTTTTTTAAAGTAGAAAAACTGAAATAGCATTTTCTTGCCAAATGTACTTCAATAGTCTTTGTTTTATATTCACTACATCAACAAATCATTTTACATTATGGTATTTTGGCAGAAACTATGGTTATCATGGTACATTTTTACAAAGTAAGAATATGGCACATTTGACACGGCTTCAGATCGGATAATGTATATGAAAGGATGGTGATCCATCAAATTACATAACACTGAATATAATTAATGCTGTTATATAAGTGTTCTGCCGATAAAGAGAAGAGAGACTTTGTTTTATTGCACATTAATGCATCTAAATGTGTTTGGACTTGTTTCTCTTGTTTTCTGAATTTTTTTTAATGTTTAAGTTGAAAACAAATATCTGCCAACGGGATCATAAAAATAAACTTAACTGAAAGGGAAAACAGTATTATTTTTCTGACCCTATTAACAGATATTAACAGATATCTTGATTTAAGCATAAACTCACTTAATTTAACTTTAAAAAAAGAGACTTACTATCTTAACTCATTTTGCTTCTCCAGTAAATGTAGCTTGATTTAGGAAAATGTTTAGATATTTGTACTGGAAAACAAGGCAAAAATACTGAGGAAGACAGGCAGATGAGGAGATACAGCATGGATTTTTTTCACATGCCCTCATTTAGTGCGTCTCTTTCGGCTCATTGTTGGTTAAAATCTCTCTCGTGTAAAATAATCTGTTCTGTTCACCTGATTAACCAGATAAACTGCACTTCTCCCTATGGACTGAAATCTACACCACAATACAAAAGTACAAAATAACTTTTGTATTCTGTATTATTGTACACAATACAAAAGTACAATACAAAAGAAAACCACTGAAGGCCACTGAATGAGCTGAATATCATGGCATCTGACTGAGCATATTTGTATTTCAAGCATTAAAAGACATTGTGTTTGAGCCGTGGCCTATTAGTCAATGCAAACACTCTGATATAATGCACAATGATGCATGTAATGCAACCTTGTATATGGCTCAATTCCCAACAATTTAATCACTTTTCTCATTCTTTTCCATTATTGTTTACTGTCTCTTTTTTTATTTAAGGCAAGACACAACAGGCAAAAACATTGTTATTTCATGCACTGGTCAATTTTGGGACAGAAAGCATCCAAAATATAATTTATTTTATTGCACTTTATCTATTTGTGCCTGTAGATTTCAGGCTGTTTTCTAAAAATGAGTTTGTTTCTCAATTTCAGTAACACTTACATACACCAGACTTAGCAGTTTTATTCCTTTCTATATTCTGAAGGTTTTTGCTGA